GACATTTTCCAAATTAATATTTTTTAAAGAAAAATTGTTGGTTTCATTGTACAAGTGACTTTCTCAGAAAAAAATTCTGATTTGATGAGTGCTTTAACCAAGTTCTGTTGAGCACAACTGAGTGGACACCATATATTTTGAGATAAGGGCATGAAAAAGTCTATTGCTTTGTGGGAAAAAAGACATTGTTTCCAATGCCAGGACTTTCAGTATTTTTAAAATTGCTTTGGGCATGAATTACATATTTTTAGTTTTGCTCATTTTAAAGAAGTCTAAAGAATATTGAATCTGCTTTGTGGTCCTTGCATTATTCTCCAACTGTTCGAAAAAAATAGTGGCACAAAAATCTCTTTTCATAGACTGTCTATTTTACTGTCAACAATAGAGAAAAGCTGCCTTAGGAAAAGAGCTTTAAATATATCTGTGGTGCTATCAACAAGTTAGCACTTCTACGTGAAAGCAAGTCCAGTTTATTCCAGAGTTTTGCTGGAGGAGATAGAAATCAGTAGTGCCATAGCATGAATGCAAACTCAGTTCTCCATTGCTTAGTTTTGCTGCAGGGAGCTGGAGAGCTCAGATGCATCAGATACATCTTTCTGACTGGCCAAGTATGACCATTATATAAATGGAAGGTTGGTTGTGATTCCTAAAGGCTTCTAATACTGGGAATGGGTGTTCATGAAGTTAGCTGGACTCAGCTGAATGTTAAATTTATCTAAAGACAGCATGACAGTTCTAAGAAGTTAGCAGGTTTGCTTCTGTTTCTTTGTCCAAACCTTCAGGTTGAAATCAAAGAGAAAATTTAACAGCCTTGATCATTTCTGCCAGCTACGTTCCACTGGGAGCTCCTCAAAGTTCAAGGATACTTCAATTCCTTGTTACTTTTTGCTAGGAAAATCTAAACAATCAAATTTATACTTCTCCTCACTCTTGTTTTGACAGACATATGCCCGATTTCCTTGTGGATTTCCTTGGGCCCACTCCCCACGCTTTCAAGGTCTTTGCTTCCAAACAGCCCATGGTGTGGATTATGAGAATTATTTTATACTCTCTGACCAGTTCTCATATCAGCTTTGTCCCTTTTTCTCCACAGTTTCGTCTTTTTTCCTCTAACAGCTCCCAAAGTTCTTTATCTTCCACCTTACCAGCTGATGAAGGATTCTTGTTTTCCTTCCATTAACCAACAGCAAACAAAAGGTCTAAATACTGATGAGTTTTGAGCCCAGAACAAATCACTGAAGTATGAGACAGTGAATTTTCCTGAACTGTTCAGGTTATTTCCACACCTATCCTAAGGGCTAATTCTAATATTATATAAGACCTCAGTTTAAATTTGAGATAGACAGAACTATCTTGTTGTATATCCTGCTACCCAGTTATGAGAAATACTAGAGACAATGTCTAAAAAAAAGGAGGAAGGTACCAATTGTACGTGTTATGTTTTAATTTAATCTACATGTGTTTCCTGTTGTATTTTTGCCCTGAAGATTACAACTGAGATTATGACTCTGTGTGTTATGATGACTTTCTGTGAACTACAGTGAAGTAAACAGGGATGTTTTCACTATCTCCATAGAGGTATAGGATTTAGAGAAAAGAATATATGTTCTCTTTGGGCAATCCAGAGCTTCTTGCCAGGCTTGCTACAGGTCAACAAGGGAAACTGCAATCTGCTAGCAACTTTTGAGGGTGAAATTCTTTCAGCAAATTCAAGGCATCAGCTCTTCTGAGAGACAAAACCAATTAAGAAGCAATCAGTAACTCCAGATAGAGTGAATCAGGAGTGTTCCAATTTCTCTTCTTTCTAATGAGTTTTATGTCAATCACTGAATCTATGGAAGAATTCTACAGGTTGTCTTTCATCTCTACTGTGTTGGTTTTTTTTTTTCCTCTTTCCAGTGAGATTTGAAACGTAAAGAAAAGAGAGGATAGTGTGGGGCTTTCCTCAAGAAGAACCAAAAGAGAAATCCATTTTATTGCTAAATTAATCACTAATCCAGGAAAAAATCCTTTTTTCCTTAATAAAAAAAACAAACGAACAAACAACCAAAAATCCTCAAAGCAAACCAAACCAACCAGCCAACTGAAAAAAAAAAACAACCCTGGTTAGCAACATTGAATTTGGAGAACTGAAAATAATAAATTATGTAAATGCAATTAGAATTAGTATTTGCAAACTAAAGATGCACAAATTTGTCCTTAATGTAGATTTTTGACTCGCTTCAGTGTCCATCTTTCATGAAATAAACCTGGTTCTTTGCAACTGTTATATGTCTGTGACTTCAAGATGGTTATGTTGTATCTGAGTAAACTGTTAACCCAAAATTTCTCCCCTATTCTATTTTTCATGTCCTAATTAGAGCCTTTTCTAACAAATAAAACTGAAAAAACAAATTGACACCATCTTGTGCTTAGTTAGTTCAAGATAATTATGGAACTTAACACTCCAAATGGTAATTACACTTACTGTTGAGCACAGCAGCCCCGTTTTAGAACTGCAGACCAAATCAAATTAGCATTTTTGTCAAATAAAGTTAAATGTGCTTAAAAGTTACTTCTTGATGCATATGGAATAACATTTACAGTGGCTGTCACCTAACGCCTGTTGGAAATAGACCCTGCTGCTAGAATACATCTGCCCGAACATCAGTGCCTTTATCTGAGGAATTACTCTTCTAGAGTGTGGTTTGTCTTATTTGCAAATAAATCTCTAAAATAGGTCAGATTAACTGTATGTTCACAATGGTTATTTCTTTCCACTCATTTCAAAATTTTTACTTAAGTGGCTGATCCTCCCGTAACTCCCATGATAAAATTTCTGATTGCATTACCTATTTCAGAGGTCCCTGCTGTAGAAGGATATTGAATTAGATTTTATTATATAGTAGACAAAACTCTAAGTTTTTAATTAGATAATTAACATAGAAGCAGAATGAATATGAGAGTGAAATAAAACCTTTACTATTCAGAGAATGCCAAGACTATTTAAGCAGGTCCTGTTTGCAAAAGCTAAAAGAACAGACCATAATTCTCCTTATCCTCTATTTAAGATTCAAAAGAAATTTCCAGTGAAATCACTAATCATTAAATTATTGTAAATTTATTTAATAAAGAAGACCATTAAACTAGAAGAACATGGGAAAATCAACTGTAAAACTGAATATTAATAGGATTCATTGCCTTTCTATATCAGAGCCACTATGAAACATAGGTCTTATCTTTTTTTGCTATCCATTGCAGTCACAAACAGTGATGTTTATTGTCCAGACTATAAAAGCTCGCAAAACTAAAGGGGTATTTTGAGTAATGGAGAATCCCATAGAAACGGATGAATCATTTCGTTCAGCACCCAGGTTAGGATTTTATTTCCAAACATGTATGTCAAAATATTATTAGGTCTTAATATATATAAGTGTATATGTGTATGTGTATATTTATGTGTGAGATTCAATAATTTACATATGTGCATAAGTATGTATATATTCACACATCTGTATGCATACATGTGCATTTATCCAAATGTAAGCATATACATCATTGAAGCAGACCTAATCCTAGGAATCTACATCTATTAAACCTACCTCATCTCAGCACAGAGTATTTGCTTGTTGAACTAATCAGCACTAAAGTCTTGGGCTCAGTTTTAAGTTTATGAAGTTATAGCGATCTAAATTAATTTCAAATTGCTGACTCCACTTTTTCTCCTAACATGCAGTATTACACAAATTTTCCACTTTAAATGATTTATAGATCCTACCTTCCATTTTACAATCTAACTGCAATTTAAAAAAACCAGCCAAACAACGAAAAAACCCTTAACATCAACATCAGTACAGAAACCAACTAGGGGAGAAAAAAAATAGATGATTTGGATATTTCTCTGAAGACAAGACAAGAGATCTGAATTCCAACAAGTTTGCATTGCAAAAGATTCCTTACATTTGTAAAAGCAACTTTCTGAAATACAGTTCTGCTTATTTAAAATAAATACAATACAATGAATCAGTCCAGTGAATACCTGGGGAGTCAAAGATCATAGGTAAAGTAGGACAAAAATGTTGCTATTCTAAATAATAGAGTAAAAGCTTCTGAGTCTGAGCTCAGGGTTGCTCAGAGGACAGACTTCCCACCTTCAGGGATCATTAGCAGAACTTTAGTTGCTCAGTCAGCTGAATGCTTCAAAAGTAATTTTTCTGCATTCTCCAGTACTGCTCCTGTATTTTTCACAGTACTTGAAGTTTTCAAATTGTGTGATCCCTCTTCTCTCACATCAATCTTAGGCTGCTGAAATTTCAGTGACTTTCATGGAGCACATCCTGATCTAAACTGTTACACAACATTAATCTGGCCCACTACATCTATTCGGTTGTGCGTCATCTATGTGTGTCATGGCCTTGTATAAATCTTCTATAATTCATATAGTAGTGAAGTGATTTTTCCTGTACAATACAATGAAATATATTAATTTATTTCAAAATTTATTGCAGAACTCAATGGACACTATGGGGGAATTCTAAATTCCAATGGCAAAACTCCCTTTAACTCACTGGGGGCAGTCTCTCCTGTTACAAGCATCACTGGAATTCCAAAAGCTTTATGAAATAATAATTCAATTAATTCAATTCATGCAGTGAGTAAAAAATATATATGTCTATATAAATATATAAATTCAATAATCCTGATAGCCTGCAACATAACTCAGAAATATTGCTTACATTAAGAGCTTTAAATATATGTTTTGACATGAATAAAAAAAGCCCCACTAGACAGCACCTCCCTATAGATAGACTCAGCTAATATGAAAAAAGCAATCTAGTATGAGAAAAAAATATGGGGAAAAGATTAAATGGGAATATTGTGGGACCTTTTTGTGTGTCTTTATTTCCTCCTTGAAAGAACGTGATAGTCTTTTTATCAGAGACTTTCCCTCAGTGCAGTGTGGTAGAAAGAGATGAAATGTTCATCAGTGTTCATCTTTTTTTCTTATTTGATTCTTGTAGAATACGGCAGCTGATGCATTTATCTCCTTTATTTTGTGCGACTCAGGCACAAAGGGGTTTTCTCACCAAACTGATCACAGGATGACAGTATGAATAACAAAGGTATGTATATTTTAAGTTTAAGTTTTAAATTTTGTATATATAGCAATTATAAATGTCAGTAGAAAACTGAATTTTCAAGATATTTAAGCTTCTACTTAGGTAATTGCTTTATTATATATTACTGTGTCTACACAGCACTAATCTGGTACAACAGGAACAAATCAGTATATCAAAGCAATTGGCTCTGAGGCACCCATATCTATATCGCATAAACTTAAGAGCATGTGCTTGAAATTGAAATTATTATGGTCTGTGATACAAATGTTCCTTTTCTGCATGTGGTCCAGTTGTCTCCAGAGGACCCATCATTGGCTACAACATATTAAAAACAGGAGCCTTCTTTCTGCTCGACTTGAACAGTTTCCCACTTAATTTCCCTCAAAGGTGGATACACCAGCTTGAGGAGGATTGGGTAGTGACATTTTAGTCAAACTTGACATTCATAAGTCCATGGGTCCTGATGGAATGCACCCATGAGTGCCAAGGGAATCGGTAGACTTCATTGTTAGACCACTCTCCATCATCTTTGAAAGGTCATGGCAGTCAAGAGAGATGCCTGAGAACTGGAAGAAAGGAAATGTCATCTTAGTCTTCAAAAAGGGCAAGAAGAAGGACCCAGGAAACTACAGGCCAGTCAGACTCAACGCCATTCCTGGAAAGGTGATGGAATGGTTTATCATGGAGGCCATCACTAGCCATGTGGAAAACAAAAAGGTCATCAGGAGTAGATAGCATGGATTCACCAAAGGGAAATCATGCTTAACCTGATTGCCTTTTATGATGAGATAACTGTCTGGATAGGTGAGGGAGAGCACTGGGTGTTGTTTACTTGGACTTCAGCAAGGCTTTTGATGCTGTGCCCATGATAACCTCACCAGCAAGTGTGAGCTGGACAAGTGGACAATGAGGTGGATGAAGAACTAGCTGAACAGAAGAGCTCGAGGGGTTTTGATCAGGGGTACAGAGTCTAGTTGGAGACCTGTAACTAGTGATGTCCCACAAAGGTTGATGATGGGTCCAATCTTGTTCAATTTATTCATCCATGACCTGGATGATGGGGTGGATACTTCCTCAGCAAGTTTGACAACAACACAAAGCTGAGAGGAGCAGCTGATGAAGTAGAGTTCTGTGCAGCCCTTCAGAAGGACCTGGAGAGGTTGGAGAGGTGGGCAGAGAACTGTCTAAAATTCAACACAGGCATATGCAGGCTCTTGATCCTGGAAGAGAATAATCCCATGCAGGTTGGGGGTTGACCTGCTGGAAAGCAGCTCTGCAGAAAAGTGCCTGAGGGTCCTGGGGGACAACAAGCTCTCCATGAACTGTCCATGTGTTGTTGTGCCAAGAAGGCCAATGCTATCCCTGCGGTGCATTGGGAAGAGCATTGCCAGTAGGTTAAGGGAGGTGATCTGGCCCCTCTACTCAGCCCTAGTGAGGCTGCTGTGGAGTGCTGTGTCCAGTCCTGGTCTCCTCAGTACAAGAGAGACATGGACTTCCTGGACCAGGACCAGCAGAGGCTACAGAGGTGATGAAGGGCCTGGAGCATCTCTCAGTAGGAAAGGCTGAGAGAATTGAGCCTATTCAGCCTTGAGAAGAGACGACTGAGAGGGGACTTAGTCAATGTCTGTAAGTATCTGAATAGAGAATGTCAATAGGATGGATCCAGGCTCTTCTCAGTGGTGTTGAGCAGTAGGACAAGAGGCAACAGGCAGAAACTGATGCTCAGGAAGTTTCATCTGAACATGAGGAAGAACTTCTTTACTGTGCAGGTGAGCAAGCACTGGAACAGATCACCCAGAGAGGTTGTGGAGTCTCCCTCACTGGAGATATTTAAAAGTCATCTGGATATTTAGAAGGACCGAATGCACAGTTTGCGTTAACTGTATTTTCCAGATAGAATCTCTGTCTTTTGTACTTACTCTAATGTCAAAATGCAGGAACCTTGAAGTTCTTCTGCTATCCATTAAAGCTAACTTTGTACCATCAAAAAGGTACACAAGCCTCAAAGCATTTCAGTCAGTTGAGAATATATCGGAAATCTCAATTTCTTATGGGAAACTGTAGTATAAAGATCAGGCTATTCATTCAAATGATTCATTAAGAAACTAAGGAAGATGTCAATTTTACACATTCCATCCTAAGTTTTGTTGGGATTGTTTTTATTAAATATTTAAAGGTTCATCAAAATTTGTAATTTTTGAAGAAATATGTTCTGATTTTTATTTTTTTTTTTTACATTGACCCTTATGATTACAATCTGCTATTGTGTAATCGGGATTATTAACAAAAAAAATAATCATGTAGATATATTCACAAAATGCATCCCAAAAGATCTGATCTCTCTTTTTGGTTTACTCTATGATCATAATAGAAATAATATTCCTAAGAAAGAACTTTCTGCTCAAAATTATAGCAGAAATCAGAATAATTATTACTTTTGGTAAATGTTTTAAATATACACCCACATATTCAGTTGATCCTGGAGAGCGGCAGGGAAGAAAGGATGTGTTTGTGGTTTGTGTATGTGTGTGTATGTGTGTGTCCTTTCTCCCAGGATTTGCATCACTTCCTATTATATCCATTTTTCAAGCTGTCTTCAATGTAGGATCTTTAGCCAGTGGCAGAAAATTGTACTTGAAAAAAATTACTCAGCTTTGTTCAACAAGAAACCTGCAGTATTTAATTTTGGAATTTGACTCAGAACAAGTAATGTGAGGGCAGTAGATGCTGCCAATAAAGAGGGAATTGATTTGTCATATTATATTTGATGCAGCTTTGATTTCAGAGTGGTCTTTCCCTTATAATGTGAGAAGTCACACCCCTAAAATGATGCAGAAGTTATGGCCTCTATATCTTTCCTCCTTCTTTATAATCTGTACTTGCATACAACAAGGTAGATTCAACAAGACAATTCCAAGAGACTGGGAAAAAAACCAGTGTACAATGACACATTAGTTACTGGATTTTGTCCAGAGAATGAGAAATGTTAGGAAGACTGGCTTAGTCTCACTCATGTTGGTGCTTTTCTGGTTTCAGTATGCTTTTGCACTGTCTCCACTGCTGAAGATAAATTGTAAAAATCATTCTCATGTTGCAGGATTTTCACAAGTACCCCCAAATGTTATTTTCTGAAGGTAAGCTGAGACTCTTTCATGTGTCATTTTCTTTGTATAATTTTGTAAATCTGCAGTAGCTCCTTTAGTCAATGGAACAACACCTGGGTAAGGTGTGTTTGATAGGAGAGGGAAAGAGCAGCTCCTAGGCTTTGCTTCTCAGATTCTGTTTCTCTTTCACTGTGAAAGCTCTTTTTGAGCCTAAAATGTTCACCACCAAGAAAAAAAATTCTCATGTAATTTTTCTTTCCTTCTCCTTCTAACACCGCTCAGTTTCCTTTTTTTGGAAGGGGAAGATTTCATGTACAAATTTATCACGGGCTTAAAAAACCTATTGTTATACTGTGTAGTTTCTGAATTGTAACAAGCTGTATTACAATTTTACAGGAATTTAGATAACCTTGCTTTATGGACCTGTTTGAAATTTAGATAACCTTGCTTTATGGATCTGTTTGAAAAGAATACACTGAGTAGGAAGGAAAATACTCAGATACAGAGTAGGCTTCACTTCTTCATGCATAAAAATAGCACAGAAAATATATATCTATAAAGTCAGAGACTTTGCATACTGCTTCAAAATATAAACAAAACACCAAACAGACTAAAAAACAATNCTGTCTTTGCTTGTTACTCTCTCAAATGTCCAGAGACAAGATGGAAAGACTCCTTTTTCTCTCATTTGCTTGCCAAGAAATAAAGAACTCAGATAGTCAGACCAGTCGGAACTGCATAGTTTATACAAAAGGCAAATAATTGCATTCAGATCAATGAGAATCCAATTTCTTCAAGAAAGTAACAGAATGTTCCATGAATATGAATATGTTTCTAAGCTGAGCACTCAGCCAGACACAGGCAACCAGGATGCTGGTGAATAAATGTTGTAGATGTTAGATGAGCAGCAGAAAGAAACAGTAAGAATCCATATCATATTCAGCAGACATTGATGCAAGCTACTTATGGGACTTTTTCTAGTAAATCACACAAACTAACTAATCCTCTTAGGCAATATGTTATCAGGTTTCTGAAAAATACGTGGACTTCTAGGTACAGAAGGCAGATGTATATATCAGATGTTTGACCCAGCTGGTCTCCAAAAGCTTTGTGCATTTTCCAAGGGATGTAAATCCAGTCACATTAAGTTATTATCACATCACAAGTCAGAACACAAAGTACATGTGGCAGACAAAAAAATCTAAAGAAATATTAAAAAAATAAAATATGACAGAAAGAAAGCATACCAAAGGATGTTTCAGAAAATTAAGACCTCCGCAATGGATGGCAATAACACACAAGCAAACCTGGGGCCATTTGGTAGGACTAATCCTATCTGAGATCATCCACCTAAATTTTAGATAAGGAATAAATGCTGTAAATTTTCATTATAATCTTTAGGTTCTTAACAGATAGTGGAAAAGGACTGGCACTCCAGGTAGCTGACAGTGAAGGAAAACCTGAGTACTGTCTTGGTGTAGGAGGAATTGGTTTTATGCCTATTTACATGTGGGTCTGGGGTCATTTAAGATGTGTTAGTGAAACTGAAGTATCTGATCTGGAATGGCAGATGGGATTAAGAATCTGTGGGATACCCATGAGTTTCTGGAACAGCAAGTGGATTGAGGCAGAAAAATAGAGTACTTAAAACAACAGGATACACCTATGTTTAAAGACCCCAAATCCTTTTGCAGATAAGGATAAATTAACTGCATCATCTTCTTCTCACACAGCACATCACTTTCTGCCACTAGATTTGTTTAATCTTCTGTCCATTTTATTCCCTCCCAGTTATAGCCTGGTAATATCAGAATAAATAATACACAGAAGGGAAGAGAACATATAATAGCCTTAAGTAATTACAAATGTCTACACTGGGCAAACTGCTAGGAATTCTTTATGAGAAAAACACAGACTGAATTTTTCCCTTAACAGACAAAATATTACTCACATACTGCTGCAGTGAATAACATATTTTGTTACAGCTGCAAGCCTGTAAAACTACTCTCATAGGATGAAATAATGAACATGGAGCATTATGGAAAACTTATTAATCTGAACATAAAGTAGGTACAAAACACAAGGTTCTAAGTATAGATATGAAAGTAGACTCTCTACTACGAGACTTCGATGTATCTAGGCATTTTCATCATAGGAAAGACTTATATTCATTCTTATGCACTGATTTCCAAAAGCTTCTGTTTGGAAATGCAATTTACAGTCCAATAAATTTGAGCAGTTTTACGTGCTAAATTAAAGATCAGCTGAAGTTTAATTTTAGCTTGCCATGTGATCCCACCTGGAAATGCTCTAGATTCATCTGCATGTAAACAGCATTCCAAGATAACTGTTTGAATATGAGTTTAAAGAAAAGAGATTATATGGGAACATATAAGAGCAAACAAAAACTGCCCATCAATATAGTTTAAGTTCTAATTAAGTTAGTTATAAATTATCATTAAAAAAAAAAGAAAATTAAGAAACAAGACATTGAGGAGCTACAAAGGACTGTTAAGTATAGAAAAAGGTTATGACATTCTTGAGGGTTTTTTTGACATTTCAAATATATACATCAAAAGTGGAGCTCTATTACAGAACTGTTTATAGGAATGGCTGTGTTATCATTTGTAGGCAAGCTTAGAATAATCTATTTATAAGAAGTGCTTGATAAAATAATGCTATGTTTGTAAAGGGAAGATCTTGGCTTTTGTATTCTTATTTCTGTCCTTGAGTACTAATTTCAGTAAGAAACTAGGCTAGAACTTAGGAAAACATATTCCTGTTAAGGATAATCAAGCACTAGAACAGACTAATGAAGCTTTAAAGTCTATATCACCACTTGGAATTTTTTGGTGCAAGTTAACAAAAGCCTTTTAGGATCAATATTGTCCTGTGAATCATTAGCATGACCCCTTGAAGGCCCCTTAACGCCATTCCTACTACAGAATAGCTTATATATATTTGAGTACTGAACATTATTGACTTGAAAACAGATCTATTTTACTTACTTTATTTTTTCCTTGGAGTATGCCCACAATTCCAGGTCCTAATCCCACTGCTAAATGGAGGAGATCACTTGAAGTATCCAGGAAGCTGACATTTAAAAACCCTACTCGGTACCTCCTAGTTTCATTTTCATCACAGGGAGGAAATCATTTAGGATTTAGCAATTCACCTTCTATCATATTAATGCGTCAACCTGACTTTTACCGATCCTAAATGAACATTGGTCATGAAAAGTCACTCTATTTCAAGGTGATTATAAATTACTCACTAGGTGAAGCAGCCTTTCTTCAGACTTACACCAGACATGGCTCAGGTTCAGTTAATCACACATTCCAGCATCTTCACCTTCACTCCAGTTTTGGTGGGGGGATCCCTCTGTTTGTTTTCCAGTGTTGATGATCTTCATTATTAACTGGTATTTATACTAAATGTGCCAGTTAGTATCAAATCAGACTTCCCTCATAACCACATCTTTTTAAAAGACACAGATTACATAATTCTACCAAAACTCTTTCTTTTCTTCCCTAGAAATGAAACCATGTGGCTTTGCCAGATTTTTGATGGAATTACCAGCATGCCAATTCCCAGTCCAAACACACTGAGCCAATTATATCTCCAAGAAGTCACCAGAAGAAACCTCCTGAAAGTCCCAAGCAGCTTTATGTTAGTGGAAATGCATTCAAGAGTAAGGTCAATAAAGATTAACAAGAATATTAGGCAAACAAATTATCTTTCCAAGTTGTTATTGAAGTATCATTTCAATATTTTGATTTCAAGATGAAATACGTGTGCTTTTCAGCTTTTTCCTTGTTTTGTTCATCTTAATATTTTTTGATTTTCAAGAAATCCCATGGGAAAAGTGAAATTTTTTAAATGGAAGCTTAAAAAAATAATTTTTTTTTTAGAATTTTCTTGACAGATAATTTAAGGGCTAATAGCCTTTTAGTCACACTTCATACAACAGTGGCAGAAGCTCTTGGCTAGCCACTAGTTAATCATAGTCAGTCTCTCTGGATTATTTACTTTGCTTTTGATGACACTTTATAGTGACAATTCAGGAACAGGCTGATTTGTAACAATGTAAATCAATGTTGTTTGTGATACAAGTTTGGGATAAAAGTTTGTGATACAAGAACACAGAATATTAGCTTGTCCTTTTTTCCTTTTGTGTTTCTATCTCTGGATGCAGTCTTTATTCTTATTTAAATTCCTTCTGCTTCTTTTTAGGAAAAGCAGTTGGATTATACCAGCAAATACCTCAGGAAGGCAGAACTAATTGCTTCAATTATTACTGGAGAGCCAGGTGGGAAATGAGAGTGTGAGGCCAATCAGGGATAGATAAAAAATACTTCTCAAAGTTTAGAGAGTAAGCTGATAATACTTAGGTTTATAATGCTGCTGTTTATCTTGACTCATTTCTTTAAGGAGTGATATTTAGGCATTAGTAGTAAGGCTGTTTCTAGCTTAAGGGAGCACGTATAAAATATAGACAGCTTTCTGAAAAACAACAGAGAGGATAAGGACTACTGACAGTGCACAGGCCTGATTCATTGCTTAAGGATCCCTTGTGACAGGAAGTATATCTGTTCAATTCTTAAAACTGAAATTCCCACTCCTAAAAATAACGGAGGTACAGTATGAGGGGATCAACAGCCTAGCTACAAGTGCTTTCAGTACTTATTTTCTACTCCCTTATGTCCTTTTTTTACCTTTGGTATTGTGGAAGTTGCTCATGTGAGAAATTACCTTTGCTGGTATTTTCTGCTTTAAATTTTGATGGCATTGATTAAACTTGTGCTGCCAAGGGTAGTAGATGGCAGACCCTTAGTAGAAGGTAATAGCAGAAAACAAGGTTGTGATTTCATATTAAAGACAGTTTAAACAATGTCAGGTTGAATTTTAGCCTCTTTATTTGTAGGGATAGTAGAGAGGTTTGGCAAATATTCTGATTCTTTCAATTGGACTTCTTCCTGGGAAAGGATAACATTTTATTGAGTAATATTCTATTTCACAAACTGTCCTCTTCTACATGTAAATCAGAATCTCAATAAGACTATAAAAGTTAATATTGCAGCCACTAAAAATGGTTTTTAAAAAAGGCATCACCAGGTTAATATTGCTCTTTGGGAAAGACATTGAGAGTGTGCAGCAATTTCTTTTGCTATGTACTATGAGACATGAACTCAAAACCAAAAAATGCAATTCAACCACTGTTCAAGTCAGTGTTGGTAACATTTCAGATTGGCTGGATTACTCTTTAAATCCATGGATCAATATCCATTACAGTCAACTCAACAGTCTCATACTTGGTCAGTTCAAGACTCAATTAATTCAAGAAAAATACTTGAAAGTCCAGACTTTTTCCAGGTTCTCTTACATTTTAATATATGTTAGGATTAAATGTGCAAGACTCCTGAGTTATTTGAATTATTGCCAAGAGAGCAAACAGTAAAGGTAGTATTTGACCTGTGTGCATGAACTGAATAGATGGTGCTCCTTGTGTTTTTGAGATACCAGTCTGAAAAGGCCTTGGAAGGAACTGGATCAAGCCCTGGTGCAGAGACAAGGAACTATTCCAAAATTCCCCACTAGTGAAAGTGACTGGTTCTGACCTGGTAACTTACTGGTGATCTATATGCTGTTAGTGAGATTGTTATGAGCCAGGAGTTATAGGAGATAGGAATTTTCAGTTCAGTTTAACTAAATTTAAGAAAAATAAATATGTGCTAGTGTAAAACAAATACATGCTAGTTTGTGATTTGTGGGTAAATTGGAGGCTAGTCTTGCTGGTAGACTCAAGCATGTGGATTCACAGTTCTTTTGTCTATTCAGTCAATTCCTGACATAAACATAGAAATGAACAGTTGTATGATATGTAATGATACTTGCAATTTTTTTTTTTTTAAATAGCAGTTCTCAGCAGTTCTCAGACTCTTGCTACACAATACTATACATGTGACATTCTGATGTTGCTTCAGGAACTGAATCTCAATCCCAAGGTAAGAAACGAATAAGAAAGTGGAATTTTCATGGCACAGAGCTACTGACTATCTGTTCAAGACAAAACACTGGGTGAAGTGAGTGAAATGTGGCTGCCTGAATCTCCTAATCCAAGGTACAGAAGAAACAAGCGCTGAAGGAGAAAAACATTTCTACTTCTATAACTGTAAAACACCTTTGCCTGAATAGGCAACTGTTCCCAGAACACTGACACAGCACAGACATATTTGCAGTTTGTGTGTTGAACCCTTAAATAATCACTGTCAGATGATTATTGATCACACCACAGAGTCATAGAATGGTTTTGGTTGGAAGGGCTCTTTAAGAGTCATCTAGTTCCAACCCCACTCTATGGTCAAGGACACCTTCCACTAGACCAGGTTGCTCAAATCCCATCCAACCTGGAGCTGGAACACTTCCAGGTGTAGGGCATCCATAACTTCTCTGGGAAACATGTTCCAGTGCCTCACCATCCTTGTTATAAAACATTTCTTTCTTACAGCCAATCTAAATCTAATATCTTCCAGTTTAAAACCAGTGTCCCTTTTCCTGTGACAAAGGGCCCTGGTAAACAGTTTTTGCCTCTTTTATAAACCCCCTTTATATACTTGAAGGTCACAACAAGGTGTCCCCAGAGTCTTCTCCAAGCTGGACAACCCCACCTCCCTCAGCCTGTCTCCATAGGAGAAGTGTTCCATTCCTCTGATCATTTCTGTGCCCCTCCTCTGGACCCAGTCCAACAGGTGCATGTTTTTCTTGTACTGAGGACCCCCAAGCTGGAAGCAGCACTCCAAGTAGGGTCTCACAAGAACAGAGAAGAGGGGCAGAATGACACACACCCCCCCCCTTGACTTGCTGGCCATGCTTATTGCGATGGAGCCCAGGATATGCTTGGCTTTTGGGCTGCAAACACACATCACTGGCTCATGTCTAATTTCCCATCCACCTAAGTCCTTCTCTGCAAAATGTTCTCAGTTAACTCACCACCCATCTTTCAGTATTGCTAACAAATACAAGCTTTGTCTAAACTCCCTCCCATTTTATTTACTTTGCAGGTTGTGTTTTATTCTACTACTGAGCCTTCTGAAAGAAGTTATATACCATAATTTTTTTGATTACTAACCGAAAAAAACCAACAAAGGCAGTTGGCTTAATCATTAACAGAGATTTTCCTTCATCTCAAAGGAAATTAGGGGTTCATTTACAATACCTATATCATTTAGAATCATCATATAATCCATGAGAAGATTTAGATATCAACAGGGACAAATTGTAGCACATAAAACTAGGTGCTGATACACTTTGTAACACTGACCTAAAGTGGTGGCATGTTACTCCCCACTAAAAGTGAGGATGTAATCCTAAAATGCGATTCTGCCAGACTCCAGAAAACACCGGAAACCTGTAACAGGCTGCTATCAGGATTATAATTTATGTTTGTCTATTTTACAGCAAGGGAGACTTTTGTTCTGTATCCAGGTGGTGAGAACATCTGAGATGGAGATCCTCCAGCATGACCTTCTCGGGACTTCCAGGAATTTCACTAATTTGGGCATCAAACCACCAAAAAAATCTACTTCATTCCATAAATTAATGTAAATCCCTCTTGTCTAAATCCAGAACATCCAACTTAGAGTCTCTTTATCACATTTTTTTTGCATTTTCTTTCATAAATTACACCGCTTCTCCACTGAATATCAAAGAACTCATTCTAAACATCTAAAACAAATGACTGGATGTTTTATAGTATAGTTTCCCTTATGCACCTTTGTGGGAGAAAGTGTCTATAAATGTAATGCTCACTTAATTTCTAATTGTTTTTATGTTTAAAACCAGTTTAAGTGAAAAATGCTTGTGAGGGAAAACCAGCTAAATATGTCTTTCTGATATTCATGTTAGATGGCCTAAAATGAAGTTATGCTTCAAAGAAGTTACCTTCTGACAGATAAAAAGATATAAATTAAATTTGATTATGAAAGAAGGAAAGTCTCAGATAATCCTGAAGTTACATAAATTTAATATATAACCTAATCTATTTCCTACATTTTTCCCAGTCTCAGCATTTTTGCCATTGCTTCTGCAAGGTCAATAAAATTCACCTTAATATTAATATACAAAGTAATTTAATTGTAATGAAAGAAAAGTTTCCCATCTGCAGTAAACCCCCTCTTTTCAGTCTGGACAGCTCAGACATCAAAGTACAGACTTGTACATAGGCAAAAGCATTTGCAAATCTCAGTAGCTCTATCGTGATTAGCCATTAATAATTTCCTTCATCTGTCTTTTTTCTTCTCTTATAATTTTCTTACTGAAGGTCCAAAATTAGGACATTTTTTGCTAAGCATCTTCATAAGGACTAATATTATACTTCTGATACTTCAATCTTTGGAGTTTAAAGAAATCAAAATGCTAATTTTTTAAGAAGCAGAGATAGAGCAAGTTGATTTAGGAACATCTTAGTCTGTTCTCAGTCATACTAATGTAAATCCTGTGGTTTAAACAGTGTTACTGTAGCCTAGCTAAAGAACAAGTAAAAGGAATATTTTTTCTGAGTTTTAATTACTTTGAAGAATGTGGGGATGCTTAATTGTGCCTGTGCTGACAGTTTGTTTCATGCCTTATTTTACTCAAGAGAGGTAATCCACATATTACTCCTGGGTACTCCTCTTCAAGAGAAAGTGTGATACAGCTTGTAAGACAATTTGCTCCAGGACCTATTCTGTACAGACTTGATGGATGAAAATTTCATCAGGACTATTCAGAAAGCTATGAAGGAAAATTTAGAAGTCAAATGATTGTCAGTCACTTACAGGGGTCATGCACCTTTCTTCCAAAACATTATTAGAATGATTCCTAAAATGTTTTAAGGTTTGTGTGGTATTTCAACTATTTTTCTCACAAATAAAGATTAGACAGCCTTAACTCTTAAATACAGAGATAAGTGATAATACTGTTAAAACTGAATTTCTTGGTTTGTAATCCAGGATGATGAACAACTAAGCTCAAAAAATGAAAAAAAAATTGGGTATTTTTTAGCTTAGACTACTGTGAATAGATATAAAAATCACAGTACTGTAAAATTTACCTGTTAAAGCATGAACACAGAGCATGTTTGAAGTTTTATGGTTTTTTGTTATTGTTGTGGTGGATTTTTTGTTTTGTTTTGTTTTTCTTTTAATCTGTAACTTAGACAAATACATAGCATGGAAAAAAAAAAGGAAAAATCCTGAAAGAGTTCATTAAAGATGATAATGGTACCTTCTAGAAGTTCAGCAAGGATGTGTGCATCTTTTTTTAGTATGTAAAAATCTATTCCTTCTGTTTGCCTGTGGAGATACATCTACTGAGGCTTAACTGGAACATTTTGAAATTTTCTGGTCAGGTTCAGTCATTTGTAGAGGGAGAGAGTTTCTTACTTACAGAACTTTGTTTTATCACACTCAAAGGGTGTTGCTCAAAGGACCACTGGAAAGGTCAGAAAGCGAACCTCTGAGACACGACAGAACTCTGTAGAGAAGTTTTTGGTATTCAGTACATGGACTGGATGGCATTTAAAAAAAAAAAAAGGTAAAAACCTCCCACTCTGTTGGAAGATGTGGGTGGGCAACCACTCTGTTCTTATATAAAGATTACAATTTTCTGACTGAAGAAATGAGGCCAAGCACAGAGGATGACAAAAGCACTGTGATTACTCATTCACTCAAAAACCCCCCATGAAATACTCCTAGAGGAGTCTTTTCTTGAGACGAACTTCAGCGCTTACAATTCTAGAGGAACAATATTTTGCATGCGTATAGAATCTTCAAAAGTAGAAGATCTAAAATGTCAATTACAATGCTATTCACATCTATATATGCCTCTTCTACTACAAATAATGGCATCTTGGGATTACCTAGCAAGGTCACACTTTTGAAATATACGAGAATAATTTTCCCCATTTATTTTTTAATTATATAAATAGTTGGTAGGTGGAAAATACCGTCTGGGATCTGTTGGCTGAATAATGTCATAGGGCAGATAGACCAATCATGATCTACAACTGAATCAAGATATTAATCATGTGCTTTTAATTGTTAGTTTCAATCCTTACATGGATGCAATTGGGGTTTTCGTCTGTAACGTCTGCAATACTCCATAGCATGTCATAAGAAATCTTTAAACAAAGTATATTGCACTTTCTGAAACAAATACAGAAATTGGCTTGCATAACTCAATGAAGATCACAATACGTGTAATAAGATTAACTGAAGCTTAAGAAGATCAAGTATTTCATCTGCTCAGAGCATAATGCCCAGAGTAAGATAGCATGCAACAATGCATATCATAAAAATAACTAATACAGTGTCCAAGAACAAAACTCTGAATTATTTTTATATTATTAAGTAGTACAAAAATACAGAATATAACAGGATGATATATTCAGAGAAACAAAGACTATCATATCAATACTCACAGTTTTTTATATTGACCATTTGGTTGTGTAAATAGTGTGTAAATGATACTGTTTTCCAATATTTACTTTTAACTATATTAATACATCTTAATAGCACAAAAACTACTCCAACAAAACATTAACACATTTCTCAAGTAGGCAAACAATTACAAAAGGAGCATATTTTCCCCCGGTGACTCCACTTATATACATGCCTAAATTTTGGTGTCATATCCAGTGAGATGAACCCAACCCCTGTTGCTACAGTTTTGATTCAGCTGTCTAGAAACCAGTTCTCATTGTCATGAGTCCTACCTCACTTTGCCTCCATCTACTGGTCCTAAAGATCCTGTAAGTCCCCTGCCATTTTTGTCAGACCTGTGTGAATGACTTGGATGACTAAAACATTTAAAGTAGCAGCAGATCCATATGTTCAAGCAAATAAATTTATTCTGCCCCATTTTAAAGAGACTAACCCACAGGCTACTTTTTACAAAAGTTATGCACTAAGAGTATTTGAAAATGTAAAAAAATATTGTCAGTATTAAAAGCTTTTAAATATAACACTAAATCATTATTTGCAAATGAAAATACAAATGTCAGCTATGGGAGCTCTCTACAAATTAATGAAAAATGGGGATAAACATTTGCTTCCAATTAGTTTCAGAGCTCTTCTGGTCCATAACACAGATAACTGAACTACAGAAAAAGTATAATTTGATCTCTAAGATTTTTCATTCATCCATGAAAAGAATACCACAATAATTTTGCAATACTGAAGTAATACTCAGTTAATCTTGAGTTCCTCTAAATTCTGAACTGCTTCCCCTCAAGATAATTATGTTTACATGCTGAAACTTAAATGCTCTTGAATTGTTTTCCAGCTTTTAGTTGAACTTATCCTTTGAGATTGATCTCTCCTGTCTTAGTCAACTAGAAATCAGACACCAAAAACCAGGCTGCATGCACCAGCTTCTCTCAATGTTGAGAAACAGCACTTAGCAAGAACTACTCATGTTATCATACTTGGAGTTGTAGTGCTTAGAGTACTCAAGATAGGAGAGGTGAATTGCATCATAAGTGAAAATTAGGGAATTGCAGCTCTTGAGTTATTCACAGATTTTGAAGACAAGCAGAAACATAACTGTGACTGGAAAAGTAATTTTAGTGACCAAATGCTACATACACATCTTTCAGAATGTTTAAAAAGGTAAGGGTTGTGTTTGTTTGTTTGATTGATTTGGGGTTTATTTAATGATACAAATAAGAAATGAAAATATTTTGTGTTCATAGGCTCTGAAATTTAGATCCAAGACCTTACCAAAGGGGTAACTTATGATAAACAAAAAGATGAAAAGGTATTTTTTTTACAGTTATCATTCAATATAAAATTTATCAGGACAAAGTAAAAATGGAATATTTTTGATTTCCCGTTTTCACTTCACATTTTCTCTCTTTAAAAATAGATTGATTTTCAAATACTTAAAAATACTATCAAGAAATTGAAGTTTGAGAAGCAGATTAATTTTGATTTTTACATGATGAGTATTATGAATGGAAACATTTAGTAGAATGTATATACACAGTTAAGAATTCTTGCTTTGGAAAAGACAGTTTTACAGTTCTACCTTCAATTATTAATTTAATTTCTTCAACTCTGTGGAATATTAGACTACTTTTACCTCAAATATAGCAAGAGCAATTATTTGCCCATGTATACAGATTGTAGAAACCTGAAAAATTTGATTTTTTTAATGACTGAATTTAAGATCAATTTACCAATTTTATGTATGAATTTCAATTTATTAATTAATACCTCAAAGCTGCATTGAAATGCATTTAAAAGTCTTAACAATAAAATGAAGGTCATAATAATTAAATTTTATATTTGAGGTCAACAGAAATATACACTTGAAAAAATATACCTTAGATACAAAGGAAAATGGAATTTTCCTTACAAGTCCTTCAGAGAAAACCACTCAATTTTCATGTGGTTGTCCATTATTACACGTGAAAGATATAATCACATTGCTCATGAAGCTTTGAAAGTCATTCTGTCAGGCTCTTTCCAGCTCCAATATTACAGTGTCTCCTTCTTTGTCACCGCCACATTCATACCAAAAAAAATCACTCAGGATTTCACAATCCCATAAGGGTTTCATTATAATGCATCTGCATTAAGTGCAGCAGTCAAGCCTGCTGTTCAGCCAATATTTTTGTTTAAACTTAATGTTTTATGTAAACACTACTACTAATAATAATTGTGTTATTAAGTAAACATTCTGAAATGTTATAAAAATAGAGTCTGACAGCCATTGGGTATTTTCTTTGAATTCAATGAGCATTGAGTCAGCTCCATACTCTGTATTTTTTATTTGAACACCGTGAAAAGCAATAGACATCAAAAGACAGACATTGTTCATTGTAATCTAACTACTGAATTACTTAAAAAAACAGGTAAGACACTGTTCTCATTTAAACTGAAGACTCATTACACTGATGCTATGTGTAACGAGCCCTTAGAATAAATGAAGGTTAGGATCTTAATCCACAATACAAAGAGAGCATAGACTAATTTTTCATAACATAACAAGTAAAAGACAAACACATATCAGTTCTACAAATATGGGATATCACTGTAGTGCTGTTTGTATTTCTTTTTACCTTCTGAATCGGATAATCCTACTCCCGACTGCTTTACTGGTTCTTGTCCGTTCTGGCTCATCTTCCCTCTGTTAAAAGATATGGTGGTTGTTGTCAATAAGACTATAAAGAGATGAGAGCTAAGGAAATGATACACCCAAGTCAATGAGGCTTGGTTCTTTACAAAAAGACAAACATCACAGGTATTTCTAAAAAAAAGGAAAAAAAGTCTGTATATATATATATATATAATTACAAGAAAATAAAATGGTAGATTTTTTTTTTTTGTTGTTACTATTTGGATCAATCACTTAAGAATATTTTTTTTTCTCTTTAGAAGGTAACTACAATACCATTACTTTAAAGGTAAGGCATACTTGTGGTCGTCTTCTTTTAATGATTGTTTAATTTATGTTTTAGAGACTTATATTAATCATAAAGTGAATGGAACAAATCATGCTTTGGAGGTCCCTATTTTCCTGCACTGTGTGTGCAAAGAACCTGTGTTACACTCTTGATGCCTATTTTTAGGCAATGAAAGTTAGACAAAACATAAGTTATCTAAATATACTTGTTGCGAGCTCTAAGGCATGATTACAATCGCTCTCTAAGATGTCTGCTACTATTAGACATTTGTGCTTCTGGTTTCCTTTCTCCCTTAAGACTCTGAAATGATGTGATAGAGAATATAAGGCATTATCTTCAGATGCATGTGATTCCTTTGGGGTTAAAGGGTCAGCACTGGTCTTTGCTACCAATGAGTCAGCTTTAGGTCTCAGCAATGGAAGCTGTCCAAACTCAGAGTGAACTAAAAATTGGTATAAAATTACATTTTTTAAAGTGATTTTTATATTCAATTTTAACGGAAAGATATTATTTTCTTCTTCTGCAGGTAATGCTTCATAAATCATATCACAGATATGATTCAAGAATTATTTGTCCCAAGGGTTATACTCCTTATACTTTATTCTGTTGCTTTTCACCTTTGCATTCAAAATGAATATAATTTTATAGACATTGTACTTCTATAAAGACCATAGGGAATCTGGTCTTTATCAGAGAAGATAACATGTAACTTTCAGGAATATTACAAATGAATAATAAAGGAGTATTTAAAAAAAATTCCAAAGTAGAAAGACTTTACAAGATATATTCAGCTCTGTGTAACTGTATATAATTTCCCTTGATAGTTATAACTACTTAATATTGGCAAGTGTACTAATTAGTCGCCTCATCAAACAATTCCCATGCTGTCAATATTTAATTATTTTATTTTGCTTCAAGACTAATTGTTCCTATGTCTAAAAACATTTGGACTAAAGCAAAGAGTTTAAAACTTAGCATATCCAACACGTTTTCTATTGATAAGTCAAAAACTTAGTCTAAACAGGAAGACAATAACCAAAGAGGTTTTTAAATACCAAGATACTTAAAAGCATTTAGCCTGCTTAACACCTCACATCCAAACTGTGAGCTGTGTTCTTGTGGATATGCTCAATTAGTGTACAAGGTCAGAGTCCCTGAAGTTATTATCAAGCCAGTGTGAATGCAAATGTTAACTAGAATATCAATCATACATATATGCAGGTAAATAAGAATTTTTATACAGAATTCAAAATAAAAACAGTTATCTGCACTAAACATTCTTTCCAGGAATAATCTAACAGTAAACAGTAATTTTGTTATTAATTTTCATTACATTGCTGTAAAGCCCTGGAGACTAACATGAAAAACAAAGCGTGTCTCGTCTGTATAAATTTCCTGTGTAACTGTTAAAGTCTCTGTCTAATATCAGCATAAAAATAATTTACTTTACAATGTCATAATAAAGAAAAAAATAGTCCAGTCTTAACAGAAAATAAGAGGCCTGGATATATTTTGTTTAATTCATGAGGACAAATTGCTATAAGAGAAATGCTGAAGCTGTGGAGACTTACTCCTGCTTTTCAGTAGAAGTGGGGCTGATTTCAGGCTTAAGAGAGCAGTGAATCTGTCAGCCAAATACCAAGTAACTGTAGGTACTGTCACATTATTAGGCAATACACAGTAAATTATACTATTTGGACTCAAATGTAGCATATGTGAACTGAAAATTTCTATTGAGAGCTCCATCTTGTGTTTCTGTGAACAAAGATTTTATGCATCTTTGCTTTTCTCTCTAGGAATGAGAGAGAATCAACTTTGTTGCCAAAGTTGATTAAAAACATCTTTTTGCCACTGGGAAGTACAACTCTTTATTGTGAGGGAAAAGTTCAAGGAGGATCAAGAAACTAGTATCCTACAACCTGAGCTCACATCATCCTCCTAAATTCTGAAGATGAGATCGAAATATTAGATTTATCTCTATTTTTCTTTTAGCTACTAACAAGCTGTAGACAAATCCTATTGGGCTTTATTTTAGAAAATGATAAATTCTCAGATACATCACAGTTCTGGAGAAGGATTTTTACTTCATTCAAGTTTTTCTAGGAAGCCTCTATCTCTTATGACTAATAGTTCAGGACTTCAAGGGAAAGGCAAAAAACTTGTGGTCCAGAGAAAAACATTGAACAACTATTGCAGACAGTGAATGAGCAGAATTAAAGGTTTATCAGGAAAAGTTACTTTGTCCTATAAAGTAATATAAATGAAATTGCCAAATGAAGGCAATTCATGCTGACAGAGTAGAGGGGAAAAAATCCTGGCAAAACTTTTCTCTGTGGAGTGCTTAACTGGGTAAAATGTTTTGAAAACTAAATCATTTTATAGGATCATTACACTTTATAGTAGCTTGATAATTCCTAGAGGGACTCTGTACCAAAAAGCTTTTTTGCAAACAACAACTGAAAATTCTACTCAAGCTCTTGAAAACTTGGAAAAATTAGGGGTATATTCACAACATAAATTCCACTTGCATTAATAACAATTCTCTATAGGAGAAAAATCTGAAAACTTAAACTAAGCATTCTCAGGCCTAGAAAAATTGTACTACTAAAACATGAGCCAAGGGCAACACTACGTACTTTCATCAAAGGCTTAGACTAACACCTTTCCTGTGTGACAGGAGAAAAAAATCGTGAGGCTGAGGCAGAGGTTTGGTTGGTTATTAACAACTCAGTGCTCAACAAAGCAGAATAAAACTATGTACTCAGAGAAATTCTCCCCAGTTAGCTGCTATTCTACTGCATCACACAAGTCTGCAGAGGAAACTATGCAAGAAGATGACTGGTAAGTGAAAGGGCTATAAATTGTGCATGGAGGATACAGTATATTAAATGAAAAGCCTTACATTCTCGGGATGGGAAATAGATTATTCTCTCCTGTGGCACTGCTGCTGCCTTCGCTATCCATGCTGTATCCACTGCCAAAACTGCTGGCTGATGAGCCAGTGGAGACAGAACTTTCTGCAGGTCGATGATTAGTAGACCTTGCTGTACAGGGCAGGAACAGTGGGTTACTAAAAAACTTGTGAGACATCAGTACCACTAACATTAAGAAAAAGTGTAGTTTATCAAAATCACATGCTTCAAACAGTTTCACTTTCATATTTTACATCAAGTACTGCTTTATCATCTTTTGCAGATAATGTTTATTTCCACATAGAATAAGGTGTTCTAAACCAAATAGTATACTACCATATTTTTTGTCCAGTCATTTTAATTGCTCAAATCAACAGCCTGAAGGGAAAAAAAAATGGGACAGATTGATTAACACTGCTTTTCTGACTAAAGTTACAGAAAATCAGTTATTCATCTGAAATCTTTCTTATGATAATCTTGTAAAAATGAAAGTCCCAGTGGGCCTTCCTCACATTCCTCGTGAAATGTTCTTCGCATTTGGTGATTTTGAGAAGGAGAGGAGTCTGAAAGGATATATAAGTACACAATCTATAGTCACAGAGACTGTATGAAGGCCTCCATCCCTCTATAGACATAACACAGCTACTGCATTATATTTCTCAACTGCTCCTACCCATCTGGATCTCACTACGTGCCTAGAATTTTAATGCACATATTTTGACAGGAGATGCCTTAATCTAATTTAAGACCATTTGGTGTTAGTATAGCATATGTTAGATTTACATCAGATTGCCTTATTTTGTGTTTTGGATATTACTGCACTACATGAACAAATCTTCCAGTATTTGGCATTTAGCAAGTTGAGAAATATAAACAAAAAAGGACACAGTGACATTGCACAAAATAATTAATACAGGAACAATAGAGTAGCTATTCTCATATTGAATAACACAATTGTCTGGGAATAATAATGCAGATTTTTTTATTTTTTTTGTTAAATGCGTTTTATCACATCTACTAGTGTAATGTTTCATCTATTTTAACTGACTGAGCATATATACTGAAGATAGAAAACACTTTTTTTATAACATTATTTTTCTATGAAGAATTAAGGAGATTTTATGTTATTTTGGTGAACTGTAAACTCTTATACAAGCACTTAAAAGAGATTCTTCTTTAAACAAGAAATTACTCAGGTATCTAACCTGAAATTTAATAAGAGCCAGAGCCCCAACAGTGTCTTGCTTCAAACTGGCGACCAATATTATTTACGCCTGACTGACTGAATAATACTTTTGGTGAAGACTTCTACATTCTGCCTGATGTGGGACCGGGGAGCTGTGTGTAACTCCTCAAATGTAATATAAAAACAGGTGAGTAATTGGAATTAGATGCAGTGAATGAAGCAATTCTTATATCACCAATCCTTGGTCCAAACTTTGAGTTAAGACAGAACTCTCATTCTGCACAGTGATTCTTCACTGCTAAACTAACCTGTCATGTAACATTTTTATCTTTTAAACTCTATTAGTCTCCTTTGTTTCAGTGTTGCCTACAGCCACAAGAGGAATCTGTCTATATTGCTTTCAGATAAAATTATTCCTTAGCTCTCTTTCATGATTTTATACATCGATCATAGGCTGCCTTCTTGGATGTTAATACAAATTAATAAATTTTTAAATCATCTGTTATTAACAGATACTCTCAATATCTCGCCTGGAGAGAAAGGCACCTATGTTTTTTCCAGCAGAGACAGCCAGCTCAGTGTGCAGGGAATGCTCTATCACTTCCAGCTGGTGGTACTGTGAGTGAATTCCTATGATGATGGTGACATGTCAGCAAACTGCCCTTGGGAAAGGTTGGGCAAGAGCAAGATTTCAAGGACAGAGGTCAACTTCTCCATTACAGAGCATTATTGCCAGCTGCCCTATATTCAGCATCCTGAATTGGTGCTCTCTCATGCCTGTCCCAAACTAATTCATAACATCAATTCTCACAGTGTTTGTGTGACCTGTATGACTCCAGATGTATGTTGTTTAGGATTCTGAGGGTTTCTTTAGGTTACATTGTTTTGGTTTGGCTTGGTTTGGGTTTTTGTTTGTTTGAGGTTTCTTGTGGTTTGTTTGGTTGGTTGGTTTTGGCTTTTGTTTTGTTTTTGTTTTTTTTTCCACGGCATGACAAACGCCTCACAGGTGAGAACAACTGGGAGATCAACACATCTGCAAAACCCATGGAAGACAAAACACTATTGTGCCAGCACAAAAAAGCATCTTCATCCTTTTTTTAGGCATGAATTTGCTTAGTGTAGCATCCATCCTAACATATGTGGCTTGAAAGGATATTTCGTATCTCAGCTATTTTTACTGACTTTGCTGTAAAAGCTAGTACCTGAAGTAATTTCTTATATCTTTACTAGTGGATTTCTAAAACTAGCAAGAACCTAGAATTTAGTTCAAGCCAGAAAAGCTTGAATTAAGCCCTTATAAATGGTTTAGTTTTCCTTCATCTATTTGTAATCAATACATAGCTCTTTTGAAACAGCTGTATCCTAATGACACATTCAGTATACTGTATTTTTAGTTTCTCTATTGTTTTCTCTAATTCACAAAATTTTCCATATTGATGTTTTTTTTCCGTAAGATCTCTTGATGAATGGTTATAATGGATCTAGATTTAGTTTCATGACTGGATTTTGAAATTTCTAAACTTTAACATTTTTTTCCCCCACCTGTCTGCTCTATGAAAGTAATGAACTACAGTGCCAGTTTGTGACAAGACACGAAATCCACAAATAGATTTACAGCTGATTTCATGACAAATTGAGAATCTTGATAGAGAGAACTTACCATAACTTGTGAGACACCCACATTTTCTGTATGTCTGTATTTTTACAGATTTGTCTAGACCTCTAAACTTCTGCTGATTATATAGGAAGCTTCAAAGTTCTGAAGATGTGGCAATGCCTGCTGCCAGGCAATATTTTGCCTGGGAGTAAGAATAACCATGGTTATATTTGTACTCTAAGCTGAAAGATAGAACTGGCTCCATGTTCATATGTTCAAATGACTAGTCTGTACATTCACTTGCAGTCTTGTACTTTCTCTTTGAACGTTGTCTTAGAAATTTTAACAAGAAACTAAGAGTTCACTGTGGAACTCATCTAGTCTTACTAGTCTATGTAAGGTCTGTGAAGCCCTGGAAGTGTCAATAATTTCCACCTTGCTCGGTCAACTGGGTTCATATCCATATATAGACAAATAACAATTGCATTATAATAGTTTCAATTCTATTTTTAATTACAAGATTATGGCAGGTTAATTCTCAGCTACAGAGCTTCTGCTTACAGCTGTCTGTGCTGGAAAATGCCTTGGCCCTCAGGTTTTGACCTCAAAGTTCTGTCAGGAGGTGCTTTGGTCTGTGGAAGTTGAACAGCTTCATATGGATTTACTCAGGTCCAAAGATCAGACATTCTCTTCTGGTATCACAGAGGTATATGATGCTACAAGGTGTAGTCTTGCTTTACTGAAATCTACAACGTTTATCTGAAAAGGAACTTGGGCAAAGGCAATTGCCATAATTTGAATATTAAGTATCAAGAGTACGGAAAAGCTATGTTTCACTGCTTTCTTGCCCTGTGGTTTTCAAATTTTTTCCTGGAACTTATTAAAAAAAAAAAAACAACACAAAAAAAGCCAAGTAACTTTTAGAAACTCTCCAAAAGTTTAGAAAACTTTTAAAATAGTTCTTGCTGTCAATTACATATGATGCTGAAATCTTTCCATTTTTAGAGAAAAGACTCTTCAGGCCTCAGCAAATGGAAGAGACTAGGCTTAACTGAAAACCATCACCCATCTTCATTTGGTCTCTCTCTGGGAGAGAGGAGATATCCTTTCACACCCTCCAATCCTTTCTCCATAAACTTTTTATGCAGTTTATCAAGTGCTTAGTACTTTTTGAGGAATGTAACCTCAATTATGTCTGGGCTGACCAGCCATTGAATTACAAAGAATAGAAATAGGAAATCAAAGTTTAAAACTTTAATATGAGCTGCTTCCTCTGAAATAGCGCACAAAATTTCCTATTATACAAAGTTACAGTTGTAGTTTGATTTCATTTTCATCTGCTAATCCTATTTTACCTGGTAGTTCCCTACTTGGATTGGGTGTTGATGATTACACACGTCATATTTAATAGCTACCGAAGTGATGTTAAACCTACCTCTGAGTGATATTGTTTTACTGCCTGTACAGGCTCTGGCATGAGCAAAAGTTATTCTAGTGAATAGTGCATAAATGAATTGGAAGACTTCTCCACTGCTTAGAGCAATTATTTCAGATTCTAAGAAAGTGGATCATAATGTTATCCCTGGTGTAGGATCATGGTTTCCCAAGAAAAAAGATATAATAGTTAGACAGATACCTTTTGTATTCTGTGTTGTTTGCAGGAAGAAGAATAATAGACTTTTCCTTCAATAGAATGATACTTGACCATGTATTCCCCTACAACTTCTTAGAAAAGAGTTGCTGATTCAAGAAAATGGAGGCTAGTACTGACCTTACCTTTTAGCTCCTTCATTTTATTTCTATTTTTTAAAAAATTATTGTTAGTAGTAGTATAATATTAGTTGAATGCATCTATGGCAAAAATATGCTCTTGCTTATGCTTTGGCTTATGGACCCAGCTTAAAACTCAACTTTTATAGCCAAGGAAAGCATGTAAGTAATGACTTAGTATAAAGAAAATATCATATTAAAATCAATAAGAAAGGGAAGAATGGAAGACATATGATCTCATTTAATCTTTCAGAAAAGTCTGCTTTTACAACGGAGAAGAGGGTTTTTTAAAACCTAACATAAGGAAGATAGATCATTCACACGAGACCTATAGCCATGAACTGTCAAATCAGTCAGCAGCAAAATGAAAACAATCCAGCACTGTCACCACTCCAACCATTATTCTACAGTGAATGGGCTTCTCTTTTTAAAGATTTCAATTTGAAAAATGGGACTATGTAGTTCTGTAGTTCCTATGGAGAAAAGAAGAACAGACTCAACCGGCACGTTCTCCTGGGGAATTAACTGTAGATGTTCCCTTTTTTCTGGTAACTGTCTAGAAGCACAATTACACTGTCA